CACACTCAACACTCTATACACACACTCAACAACTCTATACACACACTCAACAACTCTATACACACACTCAACAACTCTATACACACACTCAACAACTCTATACACACACTCAACAACTCTATACACACACTCAACAACTCTATACACACACTCAACAACTCTTAACACACACTCAACAACTCTAAAAACACTCTAAACAAATCTAATTTGTAATCCCATATTGTACGACACATTTTGTGTACCAAACTATTCCAAACACGTACCGGTACCAAACTATTCCAAACACGTACCGGTACCAAACTATTCCAAACACGTGTCGGTACCAAACTATTCCAAACACGTACCAGTACCAAACTATTCCAAACACGTACCAGTACCAAACTATACCAAACACATACCAGTACCAAACTATTCCAAACACGTGTCACTACCAAACTATTCCAAACACGTGTCGGTACCAAACTATTCCAAACACGTGTCGGTACCAAACTATTCCAAACACATACCAGTACCAAACTATTCCAAACACGTACCGGTACCAAACTATTCCAAACACGTGTCGGTACTAAACTTTTCCAAACACATACCAGTACCAAACTATTACAAACACATACCAGTACCAAACTATTCCAAACACGTGTCGGTACCAAACTATTCCAAACACGTACCGGTACCAAACTATTCCAAACACGTGTCGGTACCAAACTATTCCAAACACGTACCAGTACCAAACTATTCCAAACACATACCAGTACCAAACTATTCCAAACACGTACCGGTACCAAACTATTCCAAACACGTGACAGCACCAAACTATTCCAAACACGTGCCAATACCAAACTCTTCCAAACACACAGTACATGCATCTTATACAATTTTGCTAAAGATTATTCAAACACGTCATCTTAACTATTCAAACACCCAACGAAACTATTCGCGGTTTTAGGGTAAGCAATTAATTGTCGCCTGGTATTCATATTGGACGTTAGGCAAAAGTTTACCATTATTATCTCTCATGAAAAAACATACATAGTACCAAAATATTCCTAACACGTGTCGGTACCAAACTATACCAAACACGTGTCGGTACCAAACTATTCCAAACACGTACCAGTACCAAACTATTCCAAACACATACCAGTACCAAACTATTCCAAACACGTACCGGTACCCAACTTTTTCAAACTCGTGCCAGCACCAAACTATTCCAAACACGTGCCAATACCAAACTCTTCCAAACACACAGTACATGCATCTTATACAATTTTGCTAAAGATTGTTCAATCCTCATCTTAATCAAGGCCCAACGAAACTTCGCGGTTTTAGGGTAAGCAATTAATTGTCGCCTGGTATTCATATTGGACGTTAGGCAAAAGTTTACCATTATTATCTCTCATGAAAAAACATACATAGTACCAAAATATTCCTAACACGTGTCGGTACCAAACTATTCCAAATACGTACCAGTACCAAAATATTCCAAACACGTGTCGGTACGAAACTATTCCAAACACATACCAATACCAAACTATTCCAAACACGTGTCGGTACCAAACTATTCCAAACACGTACCGGTACCAAACTATTCCAAACACGAACCGGTACCAAACTATTCCAAACACGAACCGGTACCAAACTATTCCAAACACGTGTCAGTACCTTACTATTCCAAACACGAACCGGTACCAAACTATTCCAAACACGTGTCGGTACTAAACTTAAACACATACCAGTACCAAACTATTACAAACACGTACCGGTACCAAACTATTCCAAACACGTGTCGGTACCAAACTATTCCAAACACGTACCGGTACCAAACTATACCAAACACGTGCCAGTACCAAACTATTCCAAACACATACCAGTACCAAACTATTCCAAACACGTACCGGTACCAAACTCTTCCAAACACACAGTACATGCATCTTACACAATTTTGCTAAAGATTGTTCAATCCTCATCTTAATCAAGGCCCAACGAAACTTCGCGGTTTTAGGGTAAGCAATTAATTGTCGCCTGGTATTCATATTGGACGTTAGGCAAAAGTTTACCATTATTATCTCTCATGAAAAAACATACATAGTACCAAAATATTCCTAACACGTGTCGGTACCAAACTATTCCAAACACGTACCAGTACCAAACTATTCCAAACACATACCAGTACCAAACTATTCCAAACACGTACCGGTACCCAAACTTTTTCAAACTCGTGCCAGCACCAAACTATTCCAAACACGTGCCAATACCAAACTCTTCCAAACACACAGTACATGCATCTTACACAATTTTGCTAAAGATTGTTCAATCCTCATCTTAATCAAGGCCCAACAAAACTTCGCGGTTTCAGGGTAAGCAATTAATTGTCGCCTGGTATTCATATTGGACGTTAGGCAAAAGTTTACCATTATTATCTCTCATGAAAAAAAACATACATAGGATAGTTATATGATCCAGATTTGTGCTGGTCAATACTCATGCATGTTGTAAATCAATACTACCAAGTATATTCCGGAAATTCTGTATTGTTTTAACGAGGTTTGGTTTGAATAATTACATGCAGTATACTGTATCCGGTGTATGATCTTTCTTGACAGAAGGAATGAAAGGGACCGTAAAAGACCTTTGATTTCTGCCTACACATTAGCGTCTGAATGACACGCACCCACAGGTATGACAGCAAATATAAAATATCTGAACAGATTGATGAAAATATCGCCTCTTCTACCGAATGGCGAAGAAATATACACGAAAATCGCGGTGATAGGACTTCCGGTTTTGATATTCCGTGCCAAAAATGTCTGCAATTTAAGGTCTGCTGATTGTGCTGAATTCACTGTTATTTTCTTTGACTCAGAAAGCCGAGGCCTATATCTGATCTTACTTAAGATAAAAAAAATACTACAATACCTCTGTAAATGTGCCGAAAACTCGAAATAGATCATTTGGAAATAGACTGGAAACATCTTGGAGAATATAATGTCGGTCGATTTTGAATCATTGTTGTACATTTAGGTTATATAACTGTTAATATATCTATTGCTTTTCGATAAATGTGCGATAGAAATCGCTGTGTGTGTGTGTGAAGGAAATAGAAGAGTAAATACCATACAAGTATAATGAAAATCATCCTATACTGGATTTCGAACTAGCAACAATTTTGGTCTCCAGCTGCAGCCAGACATTCTACCGTTCAACTGAAGGGAATTTTCTCTAGCCAAGGCTCGTAGGGCGATCTCTGCTCCCAACTTCTGCAACTTTCTATACTCCCATCTTCATAAAGTATTTGACCCAGAAAACAAAGGTTTCATCTCTTATGAAACATCACAATTTCATTTCCTTTTTCTCTTTGAGTGGTCAAAGCATTGAATATATACTGAGGAGTAATCAGAAATACCAAGTATGTACTGGCCTGGGCTTTTAAATAGACACGTTCACTGTCTCTAGCCAGACATTCTACTAACTTGACTTATAAACTACTTGTAAATTCCCACAAGCTGGGACTATAAGGTGACCTATACTGTCAACTTCTTCAAAAGTCTGCATTGATCAGATGACAGCTATATAGGAAACATGTTACATATCATATATAAGCCCTTCGAACAAGTTCTTGAAATTATGTAGTACAACTTAATAAACTATTTATCTCGGATTGTATCCAATGAACTGAAGTATTTAAGCAGTTAGACACCTGGCTGTATTTGCTTCTTGCTAGTGACTTTTTAAAATTATGATAATCATATTATTATGAAGAGTTGCATATCTACATAATCCATCACTGCAACTGTATTAAAGATTAACTCCATCATGTCATTTTAAGGGAGATATCTCTTGGATAAAAACATTGCTTCTGCCATCAACTCTAAATTTTATCTCTATATATCTAAGTTAGGATTTCAAATACAAGAATGTATATCCTTTCTTTCTGTTGATGTGTGCTAGAGCTATATATTGTCAGGTGGGTGGGGATACGATATGTATCGCAATACATGAGAAATTATCTGAATACTAACATTTCATCACTTATAAAGTGATTTCTGCAACTTGTTGCCACATTCAGATCTGAATATTATTTGTATTTAAATATAAAATAAGTTACCATTGAATTAAACAGTCAACACTGTTTATTCATTTCAGGTTCTTTTTCTAGAAAATCAGTGTCCACATGTTTAGATTTCAGTTGTGCTCTGAGCTGCCCGCAATATGTTGGTAGTGTTTTGCTAACCTTGAAAGTAAAGGAAAAAAATATACATTCTCTTGCTACCATTGAAATGAGTTCTCTTTATATTTATGCAAGGAACTTTCTGATATTTTGCTACTTCTTCAGGCGCGATTTCCAATTTAGACTTGTGACCTCTTTCCTGATAAATAACATAAATATCTCCTAATAAGTCACTCACACAACTAGTACTACCTGTATCCTCAGTTATAATTTTGTTCTTAATGGGCGACTTATCATATCCAGAACTAAAGGCTTCCGCTTCCAAAGGCTTAGGAAGCTTTGACTACCACTGGAGCAGCAACAAGTTTGTATTTGTGTGTTTCGTAGCATGAACATAGGTAAAGGGAGGTACAGTTGTTAAAAAAAGGTATCACAACACATTTCAAGGATGGACAATATGATGCATCAGTGAATCGCTACACCTCTAATGTGTACATGTCTGTACTTAGATAAATTTTGGGAAGAACATATCTCATGAATTCCTGATGGAAGTTCATATTCCTGCTTGCAGTAGGGATATCATGCTGATAAAATGCATTTAGTATTTGTTAATGAATATTGCAGGTCAAAATTAAAAAGAATGGCTTATTTTACACAAAATAAACAGATTGTCTTATATAGTTATTGAAATTAGAACATTTAAGGTTTTCAAAGCTGTGTTATATTTATAATGTGAAACTAATATATATTTCATGTATACCTTGAAGAAGTCTCAGGCTTGCCTGCTTGATGATGACTGTTGATATTTTGTTTTGTATTTTGCAGAAAATGAAGAATGGCTACATCAGATTTCCAAGAGAACTTCTTTCACTGCTCTATCTGCACTGAAAAGTTCAGGCATCCAAAAGTTTTACCCTGTCAACATACATTCTGTAAATTGTGTATTCATGCTTACATCAGACAAGAAGTTGCAAAAACACCTGGTAGACATGGATTTCCTTGTCCGATTTGTCGAAGCTTCACACAGATCAGGAACCCTAGTGTTCCATATGATAAATGGTCAGACTCTCTGATAACAAACTTCAATCTTATCAACATGATGGAAGCAATAGACGTTGGAAAAGAAGTCAAATGTTCAATTCATAAGAAAACCCAGGAATACTTCTGTAAGGGACATGAGAAAAACATTTGCTCTGATTGTGCTATCTTTGATCATAGAACATGTGATGTTACAGCACTCGCTGCAGCCAAAAAACATGAAAAACTCCTTGGAAGTGTTTCTGAGTGTCTACTTGAAGCTTCCCAATTGGAAAAGAAAAACTTGGACTCTATCAGTGCATTAGAAGGAAGCAAAAATGCCATCGAAATGAAATTAAAAAATCATTTTACACTAATGAGGGAAAGGATTGACACTGCTGAAAAGGATCAGATCAATATGCTTCAATGCAAGTATAGTTGTGAACTGCTTTGTTTGAAGGAGAATCTAGATAAGTGTCAAAACTTGAGTGAAAATTTGCAGACTGCGATGGAAGAACTACGACAACAAAAGGGAGATTCCTCAACAGACATAGAACACTGCGAAGGAAATGTTGTAGACTTAAAAGGACAGTTGGAGACAACTTTAAAGTCTATCCGAGATAAAGGAGAGATTCATATATCTCTGAGATCCGATGTTGATCTTGACAGCCAAATGGAAAAGCTGTCTAATTTAGTTGGAGAGATAATTGTTAATATTTCTTCAGAAGAAAACCGGTCAGGGGCAGGGGCAAGCAGGGGTCCTTTAAATTTACAACCATCAGGGAACAGATATATGGATCACAATGGCGCTATGGACGATGTTGGCCTTCCTTCTTATGCAATGGCTGTACAGCAGTATGGTCCCATGCTTAATGCTCCTCCTGGTGCTCCAGGGGTCGTTCATGTCATTCATGGCTCAGTTCCTCCATCAGGACCTGTTGGTCCCCAACCTATTCTGCCACTCGGACCATTTGGACCAACTTCTAATGCACCAAAATCTCTTGTTCCTATGACATCTTTCAATGCCAAAAGACCAAGTGATAAAACCCATTGCTGGTTAACTGGAGCCTCATTTTTGTCCAATGATAACATTGTGATGGCAGATCGGAATAACAAGAAAGTGAAACTGTTCTCAAATACATTCTATTGCATAGCTGAGATGGCCATGCAGACTTATCCTTTTGATCTGGCTGAAACATGTACAGGAGAAATAGCAGTGACATTGCCGAAACAGAATCGTGTTGGATTTTTCCACTTGGAGACCCTGACCCCATGTTCTCATTATATTGACACTGAGCAGCCCTGTCTTGGAATCACCTCGGGTCACGAGAGATTGTACATCTGCTGTGACACGACTTGGTCCAAGGTTGGGTGCATACGCGTATATGACAAGTTCAACCAACTTCTAATCAAGATTGAGAAAGATGATCGTGGCAAGGATATGGTGAGTGTGACTGACTATTTGACTGTGTGCCCTCTCTCTGGGAACCTCTTCTTCAAGCGTGGAGGTCTGAGTAAGGAATGTATTCACTGCACTACAAACCAGGGCACTATCCTGTGGAAAGCCAAAGTTCCTTCTTGGATGGATGTTCCAGCTGGACTTGCTGTCCTCAACGATGGACTTATAGTGTCCATAGGAAGTCTTAAGTGGATATCTCCGGGAGGCCAGAAGTGGGAGAAGCTGATTGATTCTAGTGATGTGGGTGGTCCATGTGCACTTTCTGTCAGTCATGACAAAACACGGCTTCTGGTTACACAAGCGGACGCAATCTCCAATTGTAAGGAAAATGATGAAGTGAGGATCTTCAACATCATGTATCAGTTTGGTTAATAAGCATCATTTGTTGTGTACATACATGTGTTCAGCGGTTGGAGGTATTTGTAGAAACTAAAGTATTTACTGTATTCAGTAAAAAATTGTAGGTAATGAAATATGCTAAATATAAAAAATCTCTGCAAAATGTCTTATAATGCAATATTTTTAGGATTGCCTGTTGTGCTCCTATTCAAGTTAAACTGAGAATTAGAATCAAATAATCCACTACATACCCATTTTTCTTTATAGACTTCAGGCACTGAAGTCTACTTTACTACAAAAATAATTTGGCGATGATTTCCTAGATGAAGGACTGATGTCTTATCAGAAATGATCACTCTCCACTCTTGATCTCTATGTTATACATGTAAGCTTGATAGTGTTTTAGAAGTTTGTGGTAGGTGACCAAGCTTTGACTTTCTATCATGTTAATGTGTATCCAGAGCCTTACCAGAATTTCTTCTGGCTCCATTCAGACAGGTGTCTGGTGTAGAGATTTAATCCACAGCAGACACAAGCTGTGAAAATAATGCTTTTGTGTCAAACACCTGTCTCTAACATTTGATGATGGAGGCAGAGGAAACTTGGGCTATGAAAAGTCCAGTTTTGTAGTTATACCTGATAATGTTAGTTTTTCTTTTATCTCTTTTACTTTAGTTTACTTGCTCCAACTTGGAAAATTCTGGGAGCTAATGTTGGCCGTCCTATGTAGAAAGAAAAAGAAATAGAAAATGGAGGGATCAATTCTAATTTTTAGGGACACTTAAATATAATTAGGCACAATGGCTCCCTCCAGGACTAACGCTGTAGTACGAGTTTACACCAATACCTAATTAATGTAATTTACTAATTAACTCCCCTGATTCATAGCAGCACCTGTTTTCATCTCGTGTCTGTCAGGTATGCATTTCCAATCTAACTGTCAACATTTGGATACAGATGATTGTCCAGTTAACCTTTGACATTACACCTATACCAGACTACCTATTTATACATTCTGAAAGTGTCTCAGCATACATATATCAGATCTGGGATTCTCTGTATACCTGCAGAGTTATGGCTGTTTTTCTTCTGATGGTATTCTTTGAGAAACTGAAATCACTGCGTAAAGGTAAAGTGTGCTTAAATTATGTCTGTGTGGGAAGTTTAGTTTATTTTGATATACCATTAACAGCCAGGGTCATTTAAGGACATGCCATGTTTGGGCGTGGCGGTGGATGGCTAATGATGGGATGGTCAGATACTTTATCCACTCAGTCACCGTGGCCCTTTATTTTAGGAAGTCGAAGGTGAAATTTGCTGAAATCATGTCTATTTTTTTGTGTTTAAATTGTGTATATTGAAAAAACACATTAAAATTCCATTAACTGTGATTTATATACCCATTTATGTAGTGCTTAAAATCAAGTAAGAAATTACAATGAAAATTAGGGTATTAATATTAAACTAATTAAGATTAAAACATACACAAAACAATTACTGGCACAGGGTTCGACATTAACATAACTAGACCAGTGAACTAGTAACTTACAGGTTTTACTAGACCACTTGAGATTTCTACTAGATTATTTTTGAAAAATGAAGAACAAGTTTTAAGTACATTCTCTCAGTTGTTATTTTACCAACATTGAGACAAAAACAAAATTACAATGTAAAAGAATGTTATACATGTTAAATCATACAAACAATGTCAATAGTCAATCACAATCCTTTACCAGTGGACAACATTTTAGACTTACACAACTACATGTCAAAATCTTTAATGTAATTAATCTGGACTAAAAATATATTAAACTTGTGCCCCTTTTGTAACGTTACCATCCGATAACGACGAACAGTAACAGGGTACCAGTCTAAAAATAGATCTAGCCATCAATACTTGGTTTTTCCCATACTTTGGAATACCACACAGCGCGACAATTGACAGTTTTCCTGTTGAAAAAAAATGTTTTCAATACACTCTCGGATTGATCATCTTATTAGGTATGCTGGAGATCTTCTTCGGTCAACTGCTGGTTCAATGAATTAATGCCATCAATTAATTATGCGATTGATGCATGAAAGTAATACAAATTTCTTGATCTTTTTTGCACTAGACCATTTGGGCTAGCTTGACGCAGTCTCAACTAGCCCGAACTGATGGTTTACTAGACAATGTCATTCGGACGTGCCTTAATGTCGAACCCTGTGGCCTTTGCATTGCTGCTTATTTTCATGGGCATTTAATGTCAACTTGTTATTGTCTAAATATGATTTTAATGAGATGCTACCCCTCTCCTCCATGCTAACCTTCACTTACTATGTTATACAGTGTTACATTTCATGAAAATACCTCTAAGGTATTCAGATGTCATCCTAAAAATAAGACAACAATGTTATACATTTTACGTGTGTTGTAGTCTTTTATGTCTTAAACAGTAGTCATACATCTGTCTAACCATGTGATATATAACAGTACATACATGCTGACCATACATCTGTCTAACCATGTGATATATAACAGTACATACATGCTGACCATACATCTGTCTAACCATGTGATATATAACAGTACATACATGTTGACCATACATCTGTCTGACCATGTGATATATAACAGTACATACATGTCGACCATACATCTGTCTAACCATGTGATATATAACAGTACATACATGTTGACCATACATCTGTCTCACCATGTAGATATATAACAGTACATACATGTTGATCATACATCTGTCTCACCATGTAGATATATAACAGTACTTACATGTTGACCATACATCTGTCTCACCATGTAGATATATAACAGTACATACATGTTGACCATACATCTGTCTCACCATGTAGTTATATAACAGTACTTGCATGTTGACCATACATCTGTCTGACCATGTAATATATAACAGTACATACATGCTGACCATACATCTGTCTGACCATGTGATATATACATACATGTACATACATGTCTGACCATGTACAGTACATACATGTGACTACATCTGACCATGTGATATATAACAGTACATACATGCTGACCATACATCTGTCTGACCATGTAGATATATAACAGTACATACATGCTGACCATACATCTGTCTGACCATGTGATATATAACAGTACATACATGACCATGTGATATATAACAGTACATACATGCTGACCATACATCTGTCTAACCATGTGATATATAACAGTACATACATGCTGACCATACATCTGTCTGACCATGTGATATATAACAGTACATACATGCTGACCATACATCTGTCTGACCATGTAGATATATAACAGTAGTTACATGCTGACCATACATCTGTCTGACCATGTAGATATATAACAGTACATACATGTTGACCATACATCTGTCTGACCATGTGATATATAACAGTACATACATGCTGACCATACATCTGTCTGACCATGTAATATATAACAGTACATACATGTTGACCATACATCTGTCTGACCATGTAGATATATAACAGTACATACATGTTGACAATTTAACTTAGTACAACTGATATTTGTTTACTCTCTTGTTTTATCAGACATGGGCATTGACTTATCTTGTTACTTGATAGGTTAACTTGTTACATGTCAAGTTAACTTGTTACTTTTTGAGGTAACTTCTTACTTGTTGGGGTAACTTGTTACTTGCTGAGGTAACTTGTTACTTGTTGAGGTAACTTGTTGAGGTAACTTGTTACTTTAGGGAGTATATTTAAGTATTTATTGAAGGGAGATTCTGACTTGAAAAATTGACCAAGTAGTAACTGCATGAAATATTTTGGACTTGTTGAGGTAATGTGATATTTGTTGAGGTAATGTGTTGGTTGTTTGAGTAAAAATAATTTGTCATTTTGAGGTGTAGTATAAGAAATCTTTATTATGGTTGCAAAATCTCGATATTGAAGTGAAAATTATGGCTTCCTAAATTTATTCTTATGCTGATTGAACTCGTACACTTTTGTCACTGGAATTTCATACTTACTACATAGGTTGGCCTAGGTAAGTAGGTCATTTACATACATTTTTACCTTTGATTTACATCAAAGAATGAGATTGTCCAGCTCTATCTCATGCATCACTGATCATTGGAACTTGGGGCACAGGTTAACCTAGTCACTTTGGCATACATTTTGTCCTTTAAGTTACACTGTCACTGGAACATCTTGATTGGGACATACATGTAGGTTCAATTGTTTATTAAGAAAAGGGTATTGTCAGATAAGATGGATATCACTGAATTCATTTACAATTATACAAGGCTGTGAAGTGTTTTACTTGTAGTGGTCTTTAACTATGCCCATGGAATTTATAAGTTTTAGACAGAGTTCTTAATCTGTTTATTCTTGGCATGTAGTTTTGGAATGGGACTTCTGTAATTTAACAAATTCCGTTGTTTTGTTTTGTCTTATCTTTATTATTGGAATATAATATCAATATTAAAATGACAAATTAGACTGGAACCTAAAACCTGTTTGATCATTAAAGGGTTGTTGTCATGCAGTGCTGAGCTGTGTTATGTAGCCATTGATTAGCTCTGTCTCTAGTTTCCTCTAAATCTTAGGTCTATTTCACAATCAATAATCAATATATGGGATCAATGATGTTTAAATGGAGAATCTATTGGAGGAACATCATTGAAATTAAATAGAGACAGCACACAGTTTTCCTATTGTATTTGTTTTGTTTTTGTTGATTTCTAGTAGTATTGTATTTTCTTACAAGTAATTTAATGAGTAGATTTTATTATAAAGAGTTATCATTGGATAATTACATAGAACTTTTTCTCTGTTTTACGCAGTGAAAAGAAAATGATTATTTCTATATGTAATAAGAGTGCCAATTTTGCATTTATGATTTGTTGTTTCAGCAGGAACAAAGTCATAAAATTATATGATTCTTTGAGATAAAATGTTTATCATCCAACAATGGATTAAAGGTTAAGATGTTCAAACATTTTTTTTCATTAAATCAAGTGTGTATCACAGCATGTCATATTGATATGTTTCTTCGCTTATCA